GTTAATCTAGTTCCATTTGCCAGAACTTGGCCCATATCCCTATAAACCCTTCCTATCCATGTATCCACACAGATGCCTTTTAAATGTTGTAATTATAGCAGTCTCCACCACTTCCTAGATCATAGATCATAGATCATAGAATCCCTACAGTGTGGAAACAGGCCCTTCGGCCCAACAAGTCCACACCGACCCTCACAGCATCCCACCCAGAACCCATCCCCCATACCACTCATCCCTGAACACTATGGGCAATTTAGCATGGCCAATCCACCTAGCCTGCACATCTTTGGACTGTGGGAGGAACCCGGAACACCCGAAGGAAACCCGCACAGACAAGGGGAGAATGTGCAAACTCCACACAGAAAGTCATCCGAGGGTGGAATCGATCTCCGGTTCCTGGTGCTGTGAGGCAGCAGTGCTAACCACTGAACCACTATACTGCCCCTCTGGTGGCTTATTCCATATATGCACCACCCTCAGAGGAAAAAGCAGTCTCTCGGGTCGCTTTTAAATCTTTCCCCTCTCACCTTCAACCTATGCCCTTTAGTTTTAGACTTCCCTACCCTGGGAAAAATACTTTGGCAATTCATCCTATCCATGCCCCTCATGATTTTATAAACTTTTATGATGTCACCCGCTCAACCTCTGACGCTCCAGGGAAAATAACCCAGCCTATTCTGCCTCTTACTATAGCTCAAACCCTCTAAACCTAGCAACATCATTGTAAAGCTTCGCTGCACCCTTTCAAGTTTAATAATATCTTTCCTATAGCAGGGAGACCAGAATTGGATGCAGTGTTCCAAAAGTGGTCTAACCAAGGTCCTGTACTATCGCAACATGACATCCCAACTCCTGTACTCAAATGCACTGACCAATAAAGGCAAGTGTACCAAACACCCCCTTCACTGCCTTGTCTACCTCTGACTAACCCAAGGTCTCTTTGTTCAGCAACACTCCCTAGGACCCTAGTATTAAGTGTATAAGGCCTGCCCTAAGTTATCAAAATGCAACACCTCACGTTTAACTAAATTAAGTTCCATCTGCCACTCCTCAAGGTCCAGTTGTACTCTGAAATAACCTTCTTCACCATCCACTACTCCACCAATTTTGGTGTCATCTGCAAAGTTACTAAAGATTCCTCCTCAATTCAAATCCAAATCATTTATATAAATGACAAAAAGCAATGAATCTAGCATCAAATCTTGTGGCATACCGCTGGTCAAAACCGTCCACCATCACCCTCTGTCTCTTACCTTCACGCCAATTTTGTATCCAGATGGCTGGATCTCCCTGGATACCATGTGATCTAACCTTGCTAACCAGTCTACCTTGTGGAAACTTGTTGAACGCCTTCATCAGTCTTCTTTGTCGCTTTGTCAAAAAGCTCTATCAAGCTAGTGAGAGACAATTTCCCATGCACAAAGCTACATTGACTATCCCTAATCAATCCTTGCCTTTCCAAATACATGTAAATTCTGACCCTCATAATCCTCTCCAACAACTTACCACCGCTGATATCAAGCTCACCAGTCTATAGTTCCCTGGCCTTTCCTTACCACCTTTCTTAAATAATGGCACCACATTAGCCATCCTCCCTACTTCCAGCACCTCACCCGTATTTATCGATGATACAAATATCTCAGCAAGGGACCTAGCAATCATTTCCCTAGCTTCCCACAAAGTTCTTGGATACACCTGATCTGGTCCCAGGGTTTTTCCACCTTTATGCATTTTAAGATGTCCAGCACCACCAATTCTGTGTTGGACATTTTTCAAGATTTCGTTATTTATTTCCCCAAGTTCTCTAACTTTCATCTACCTCTCCACAGTAAACACTGATGAGTGGCACGGTGGTTCAGTGGTTAGCACTGCTGCCTCACAGTGCCAGGGTCCTGGGTTTGATTCCACCCTTGGGTTACTGACTGTGTGGAGTTTGCACATTCTCCCCGTGTCTGCATGGGTTTCCTCCGGGTGCTCTGGTTTCCTCCCACAGTCCAACGATGTGCACGCTAGGTGGACTGGCCATGCTAAATTGCCCATGGTGTTCAGGGATGAGTGGATTAGGTGGGTTCTCGGGGGATTGGTCTGGGTGGGATGCTATGAGGGTCAGTGTGGTCTTGTTGGGCCGAAGGGCCTGTTTCCACACTGTAGGAATTCTATGAAAATACTCAAGTAGTATCTCACTCATCTCCTGTGGTTCCACACACAGACAGCCTTGTTGATCTTTAAGGGACTCTATTCTCTCCCTAGTTACTCTTTTGCCTTTAATCTATTTGTAGGATCTCCTTGGATTCTCCTTAATCCTCTATGCCAAAGCAATCTCATGTCCCTTTTTTGCCTCCTGATTTCCCTTTGAACATACTCTTACTGCCCTTGTACTCTTCAAGGGATTCACTTGATCCCAGCTGTTGATACCTGCCATAAGCCTCATTTTTCTTGACCAGAGCCTCAAGTTCTCAAGTCATCCAGCACTCCCTAACATCTACCATTGTTGCCCTTCTCAATCTCGTTATCTCATTTTTGAAGGTCTCCCCCTTTCCAACCATTCTGTTATCTGCGAATAGCCTCTCCCAATCAGCTTTTGAAAGTTCTTTTCTAAAACCATCATTATTGGCCTTACTCCAATTTAGAATTTTAACTTTTACATCAGGTCTATCCTTTGTCATAACTATTTTAGAACTAATAGAATTATAATCAGTGGGCCCAAAGTACTCCCCCACTGACATCTCAGTCACTTGCCCTGCCTTATTTCCCAAGAAAAGGTCAAGTTTTGCTCGGTATATCCACATACTGAATAAGAAAATTCCCTTGAACACACTTAACAAATTAATCACCATCTAAGCCCTCAACACTATGGCAGTCCCAGTCTATGTATGGAAAGTTAATTCCATTATATTACAACCCATAAGTTTGCACAATTGAATTGGCTTTTATTATTATATTTGCTATATCTTTATATATCATATATCTTTTATTATTATAATTGTTATTAGGTTTATTTCCAAACAGGCAGCACACTTGTCGAAAATGGCCAAATAGCCACTTGTTTATTGATTATGAACTTGTGACATAATGATGTAACTTCTGTCATGATGGCTTCAATCACATCAGAAAAAAAAGTGTTGCTTCATCTTCATTTCTGATTCTACCTAACGTTTTCCCCTAACACACTTACAATTAAATTTTAATATTCATCTTTTTAATCATAGTGGTCTAATGTATCCTGTTTTACATTTAAAAATACTTTTAACTGATTGAACATACCCTAATGTTGTTATAGGCTATGGCAGCATGAACTACCTGAATTACTAAAACATTCCGGGTTAATTGCCATATTTGTAATCATAGGAACGTTGCAACAGAGTAGGCCATTTAGCCCATCTAGCCTGTTCTGCTATTCAATGAAATCTTAGCTGAATTGCAACCTCATTCCACATATTCACTTTGCCCCATATCCCCTTAATAGCTATGGTGATCAATTATCTACCAACCTGTCATTTTTTTTAGACTTTGCCCTTTGTTTACCTTATTCTTAATTATAGATTTGAATAATATTCCAGCGCAGTCATGTGAAACAGTGTGCAGTATCCTTGTCTCTGAGCCAGAACCTCTGTGTTCAAGTCTCATTCCAGGACTAGATGATCAAGGAAAATGAATTCATCATGTGGTCAAATAGATTAAATATAAACTCGTAGTCCAAACATGTGCAAGTTAGGTGCATTGGCCATGCTAAATTACCTATAGCGTTCATGGATGTGTAGGTTAGGTACATTAGCCATGAGAAATGCAGGGGTAGAGCAGGGGGATGGGTCTGGGTGGGATGCTGTCCGGAAGGTCGGTGTGACTTGTTGGGCTGAAAGGCCTGTTCCCATACTGTGGGGATTCTATTTTTAAAAATCATAAAATGTGGGAGAGATTCCTGGTCAGCTGTGTGATATAAAGAAGCCAGTGCCTTGCCCATAATTATCCATTGCTCAGGGTTGTAACAAACACATAAATGTCTTACTGCAGTTATACAGGTCCTTGGTGAAAGGAGACCTGGTGTATTATGTGCAGTTTGGTCTCCCTACCTAATAGGGGATACTCTTGCCAAAGAGGGAGTGCAATGAAGGTTCATTAGGCTGATACCACAGATGGCAGGTCTGTCATATGAGGGGAGATTGATTTGACTGGTCCCGTATTCACTAGAGTTGAAAGAATCAAAGGGGATCTGGAGGAAATGTATAAAATTCTAATAGGATTAGAATTAGATTAGGGTTAAATGCAGGGAAGATGTTTTTCTGGAGTGGGGAGTCTAGAACCAGGGATCACAGTCTCAAATATGGAGTAGACCATTTAGGACTGACATATGGTAACATTTCTTCACTCAGAGGGTGATCAACCTGTGGAATTTACTACCACAGAAGACTGTGGATGTTGGGTCACTAAGTGTAATCAAGAAAGAGATTAATAATTTTTTTAGATACTAAAGATATAAAGGGATGTAGAGAGAAAGTGGGAATGTGGCATTGAGATAGAGGATCAGCCATGATTATATTGATTGGTGGAGCAGGCTCAAAGGGCCAAATGGACAACTCCTGCTACTAATTTCTGCTTTTTTTTATGTAAAAGTGAATGTTGCCACAGGAAGTCAGAGTCCTTGGGGCGGTTCACTAACCCAGTCGGCTGGACAGCCAGTGTGGGTCAGATTGGTACCCACAGCATGGTGTTCAATTCCCATTTCAATTGGAATGCATTTGACAGCTGCCTCCTTGGTCATCTATTGTGGAGATTGTGATATTGTAGGTCAGACCTGTCTATAGGCAGAAAACTGAAGAATAAATGTCCTGCAAACAGATTTGAAACTAACTGATCTATAAACTCACAGCCTGATAATAATATCAAACTAATTCATTGGCTGCTATCCACGACCACCATTTAAATAGATTAATAAAATGTAACTAAAATAATACATGAGATTTCCAAATCTAATGATTATTGGTAATAATTTTTCCCAAAAACATCTTGAACCTAACCTTATCTCCTTACAGCATCATGGATTATGTTAAAGTGCAAGGTTCATGTTTGACTTTGTCTATACTGTTTGTGCCATGGCTGTGTCACCCATTCTGGATGAATCTGATAATCATAGCAATGTGGTTTAGGGGTCATCTCCCACATATAGGCACTTCTGGTTTGCTGAAAACGAGGACCTTGTATTTGCACATATCCCAAATCTTTAGTAAATTATCTCAGTAGATGTTCCATTGCTGTGCATTCTGCAAATGAAGAAAAAGGTTTTAGGTAAGATAGAAGGAAATCGGGTTTCATCCATTACAGTTTGCTCTAAGATTCGTTAAGTAAAGCGCATTCTTTCAACTAAAATCTAAAGAGGTATTACTTTGAAAATATTAACCTTTGAACCTACTGGTAAAATTATTGCACCATGTTGAATAAGTTGGTCCTAGTATATATAGCAAACTCATGATATGATATGTGTTCTTATTCAAGCCACCACAACAATATTATAGAAGGATCACATCTCCAATATTACTTATTTAGATTCAAAAAGTGGAACTACAACTCATTTTGACAGAATTTATTTTCTTTATTTGTTCATGGGATGTGGGTGCCGCTGGCTAGACCAGCATTTATTAGTCATTCCTAATTGTGCAGAGGGCTCTTAAAAGTCAATCACATTGCTGCAGGTCTGGAGTCATATGTAGGTCAAACTGGGTAAAGATTTCCTTCCCTAAAAGACATTAGTGGACCAGCTGGGTTTTTTTTTAACAACAATTGACAATGTTTACATGCTATTAGGCTATGCTCTATTTTTGTAATTCCAGATTTTTATTGAATTCTAATTCCACTGGCTGCCAAGGTGGGTTTCTAACCCATGCACAAAGAACATTAGGCTGCATATCTGGATTATTAGTCTCATGACATGAGACTATTAGTGACATGAAGACTACTCCACTCCTTACTATGCCATTATCTTCCCTATTAAGAAATATAAAATATTTTGCATGGTCATGCAAATAGGGTGATAGCCTATCCACACATTTTCTAATCTGCCTAATTTTCTATTAGCATGTAAAAGAATATGAAATGGAATGAACAAATGCTCATATTTATATAGTATTACAGATCGTATTTATATAATGTTTTAGAATGCCCTGATTATAGCAAAGTGGCCCAAAAGAACAATCAGACCAAATTTGACACCAAGACACACACACACACATTTCTGAATAGATGACCAAAAATTGGTCATGGAAGTAAATCTTAAAAAGCATCTCAAAGGAGGAAAGGAAAGGTAGAAAGGTGGAGAAGTTTAAACAGACAATTGCACAACTTTGGAACACAGCAGCTGAAGTCATGGCTACCAACAATGGAGCAATAACATCAGAGATCTCCAAGAAGCCAAAATTAGAGGAGTGCAGAAATCTGAGAGTTGGAGATCTAGAGAAAGTTAGAGATAAGGAAGGGGAAGGCTGTGGAGGAATTTTGGAACATGGATGAGAATTTATAATTAAGGAGTTGTCAGACTTGGAGCCAATGGGTGAATGGGATTGATATGAGTTAGGATATGGCAGCAGGATTTTTAATAAATTTATGATTCTGGAGGGTGTGAGGTAGAAGGTTGGTCTGATGAGCATAAATATAGCCCCGTCTAAAGGAAATAAAGGCACAGATGAGGCTGGCAGCAACAGATAAACTGAGAAGAGGCAGAAATGGATGTTATAACACATAGCAGAATTGAATCCTGCCACTGATCCTTATGATAACCCACCAGTTAACCAATCCTCTATCCATTTCCTTACCTTGCATTATGGCCTTTTATATGACGCCTCATCAAACTGCGTTTTGGAAATCCATATATGCTACAGCTACACTTTCCCCTTTATTTACCTTGTTAGTTACATCCTCAAAAATCTCAAATACATTTGTCAATCACAATTTCCCTTTTATAAGACCATGTTGGCTCTGCCTCATTATATTCTCGAAGTGTCTTGTTAACATTTACATAAAAGATTCCTGTATTTTCCAACTCTTGCTAGGATAACTGATTTGTAGGCTCTCTGGTTTTCCTTGCCCTCTTTTCTTGAATAGCAGTGTTTCATTGGTTATTTTCCAAAGCACTGAAGCTGTTCTAGGATCTAGAGAATTTTGGAAGACCAAATCAATGCACCAACTATCTCTGCAGACAGCTCTTTCAGAATCCTAGGGTGTAGACCATTAGGTCTGGGTGATTTTTTTTTTTACTTTTATTTCTGTTAGTTTAATTTAGTTGCCTTCAGCTAGTGTGTCAGTCATGGCTCAGTTGGCAGCATTTTTGTCTCTGAGTTAGAAAGTGCCACTCTATTACTTTAACATGTTGAAGAACTGAAGGTCTACAGCACAGAAAGGGTCCTTTGAGTCTGCACCAGTCAAAAACAATCACCTAACTATTCTAATCCCATTTTCCAGTACTTAGCCCATTGCATTGTATACCTTGGCATTGCAAGTCTACATGTAAAAACTACTTAAATATTACGAATGTTTCTGCCTCTACCACCCTTATAGCAGTGAGCTCCAGATTCCTACCACCTCTGAGTAAAAAAAAAATTCTTCTTACCCTCTCTAAAGCTCCTGCCCATTACCTTAAATCTATGCCTCTGGTCATTAATCCTTCCTCAAGAGTAAAGTTTCTTCCTATCTTCCTATGTCCTTCATAATCTTATACATCTCAATCATGACCCCCTCAGTGTCCTCTGCTCCAAGGAAAATAACCACAATCTATCCAATCTCTCTTCATAACTGAAACTCTCCAGAACAGGCAATATCCTAGTAAATCTCTTTTGCATCTTCTCCAATGCTATCACATCCCTTCTATAATGTAGATTCCAGAACTGCACACAATACTCTAGCTGTACCCTAACTAATTTTTTTTTTTACAGTTCCTACTCTTAAAATCTATGCCTTGTCTATAAATGTAGGTATCCCACATGCCTTCTTACCAACTTTTATGTCCACTGTTGGAATGTTGACTTTGGATGACACATTAACCTGAGGCCTGTCTGCTCTTTCAGGTGCGTAAGATCCTACAAGATTATTCCAAAGTAGAAGAATGTTTTCCTTGCATCATGGGTAATATTTATTCCTCAATCACCATCCTAAAATCTGATTATATGATCATTATCAAACTGCTGTTTGTAGGAGGCTGCTATGTGCAAATTGTTTACCATATATCGTACATTATGTCAGTGGTTATACTTTAAAATGCTTTTTTCTGGTTGTAAAGGGCATTGATAGATCCAGTCATCACAAAAGGTGCTACCTAAATGCAAGTCTTTTAACTTCTCTTGTACTTCTTTTCTCTACGGATATTAATTATGAGCTCCTTAAGCTCATTAACGCTTTAATTCACATTACTTTTGGTATGCATGTGCCTCCTACTACGAAAACAGAGCTAAACAAAAAGTTTAGTATTTGTCATGTCCTTATTGCCCATGATATTTCTCCCATTCTGACCTCCAAGAACCTAATTTGTTACCTTTTTTTTGCGTATTTATATAAGTTCTTCCAAGAATTTTAAAACTTTTTCTTTGTTATTTTACTATCAGATTCTATTTTTCCTTTTTTAATTCAATGTTTTGGTCAACTTGTAAATCTTTTCCAATTATCACACTTACTATTCTCCACAACATCAGGCTTTTCTTTTAATTCAATATTATCCCCAACTACTTTAACTGGCCATGAATGGACATCAAGGAGCTTTTATCTGTCAATGAAATGCATTTTCATTGATAATTTTGAATCATTTCATAAAAATGCTCACTATTTCTTACCTACCAAATAGAGTTTAGTCTGTTTTCCCAATCAATCTTAGCAAACTTGTCCCTATTTCCTATGAAGTAGGCTTTATTTAAGTTTAAAACTCTTGTTTCAAATTTAAGCATATCACTGTTAAACTTAATTACTTAATGCCCTCTCCTGACGTGAGTTTAGAGGGCATAAAATCAGGCAAGAAGGTGGCGGGTAGAATCTGTGGCAGGAAAACCCCCTGGATAGCCTTCCCACCCACTGCCAATTGAGGTCTTTAAGTGAGTAGGACATTATCCCCATCACTACTGGTATTAACCCAGCAGCAGCAGTTGTGTGGACAGCATGGAGAGCAAACCCTGCTTCTTGTCTCCTGGGAATTCTTCACTTAGTGCCTGATCAAGTGTTATGGCATTGGAAGGGATGACCAGCTTGGAGCAATCCTCCTAACCTAGCTGCAAACTGTCCTCCCTCACAATACCACCCTGTGAAAACCCTCTTGCCAGTACTTTCTTCTGGTCTGGCCCTCAGGCAGACATTGCTCTGGCAGCAGACCCCACTTCCTAGGTGGCACTATTTGCAAAAAAGCTGCTGGTCTCTCATTGACTGGTAGTTGTCAATGGGTAGAACATCTGCTCCTGGAGTTCTGATTCCATGGAAGGCCCATTAATAGCCTGTTCGTTGCATGACTGGCTTGTAATTTGATATGAGACATGAGACATGAGACATGATGCTGCCTGAACTGCTGTGTTCCTCCAGCTCCACATTGTATCCACTCCGACTCTAGCATCTGCAGTTCTTGCTATCTCCGTGTATTTGACATGCTTTGTCCAAGACCCATATCGCTTTCATAAAATTGTCCCCAAATGTGTAATTCTATCATACTATAATGACTCTATCCAAACAATATTTTACTGTGATATTACTGATGATCCTATTTCATTACACATAGCAATATCTAAAATTACGTTATTTCTGCTTAGCTCCACAATGTATTGTTTTAAGCATCTGTCACAAATGAAGTCATTCTCCAAAATACCTTTGCCAATGTTATCAATGCAGACTGTGTACACTAAATATTCCTGCAAGCTCCTATTATTTCTTGAAAGATACTCTGTCCATTTATGCTCTTCACACTTGTTATTCCTAATATTTTACTTCTTGATCTTCTGAGTCTACTTTTGTACTACTGTCCTATCAGTACTATTACTCCTCCTTCTCCATTTTCCCTGTCTTTTCAAAGTGTTAAGTACCCTGGAGTAGTCATTTTCCAACCTTTGTCATCCTCAGAGCCAAATATGTGTATTTAACTATTAGGTCAAACTTATTTATTTCTATTTGTATAAGTAGTTTTTCTGCCCTGTCATGAATGCTTTGACCGTTTTTTAAAAACATTTTTCCCTGCATGAACTTTACTCACTAATGCACAATTGATATAAAACCCACCATCCCTTTTTGTTACATTCTGTTTAAT